AAAGTATCACACATTCCCACCCTGAATGCTTTTTGAACCTCACGAACCTCCGGAGATTCCAGTTGATTACGTTTCAGTTAACACGACGGAATCAGTGCGGTTCTGAGCCTCAGTAAGTGGTATACGGTTGTAACCCATTTCGTACCTCAGTTAACCTTTAAGGGCCTCTTAGCATAAAAATGTATCAAAACGCCCATCAGCTGTAAAAAGGAACAAAGAACCGATGAAGAACTCGGGAACAAGGTGCCGATAGACGCGCTGCCACGAAGAAATTGACTCGTGTGTCGTGACGTCACGGTGCCGAGCGGGGAGAAGGACGCGCGCGATCCTGCCCACGTGTTTCGTTCCAGCTGATAACCGGGCTCGGAGCTGAAACGCGGCTTCTTTCGAGACCGAGTGGAAGCGGGACTGGGGGACATTGGCGCGGAGCTATTTGCTTTGAAGTCAATCTCTTTCGTTAAAATAACGACGTAAATAAAATCAGTAATCCGTAAGTAATGTGCAACCGAGTATGTAGTTCCGTTTTCTTTAAATCATACCTTTCCGCATGGTGAATGTTTTAGTGTAGTTGTATGTCTTTGTACTTTTTCCGTTTCCCTTCTATGTTGGCGTCAGGTGTAATTCTTGTCATTTTAAAATATTGAATTGCCCTTTCGTCTTTATTACAAGCACTTTGAGGCCGATATATATATATACGCGCTATGCATAATGGTGAATGGGTTTTATTTGCAAATGATTAACTGTTCCAACGCTTTGTCGTTTTTTCTTAAATACACAACTTAAATGGTGATTTTAGTATTGCAGTTGAGTTTGCTCGCAAGTCGGGCCTGCTCAGCCTTGGCTTTTTTGGCGCCTCGTTTGGGAGGAAACGTTTTCCCGGGAGTTTCTACGACACCCTTAGGTTAGATGTTATTTGGTGTGTGAAGTGTTTTGCGAAGCGATTTCAGACTAATTCTAAATTAAAGGAGCTATAGTTAAATTGTGTAGTTAGGCTTGATGTATTAGATTTGGTTTTCCCCGCCTTTCTAAGGGTTTTGCTGATTGGAAGCAGGTGTGTGTT